GAACAGAAGCCATTATGACTTGTGAGGAAGTGTCTCAAACTCAGGCTGAAGAGGAGTTGTAACAGTATAAGGAGATGTTCAAATCAAGCTGAAGAGATAAACAGGATGTGGTAGGGATTGAGGGCAGGAGAGTAGCCATGAACTGTAACAAAGTGTGTAGAAAAACAAGATGTGGGTAGAACAATGGAGAACTGTAACAGAGTGCATACGTGTCAGAAACTGTGTAGCTGCTTTTTGCCATATAAGGGAATGCTTAAACATCCGAAATGTATATGTGTCAATTTTGAAACAGGAAGATTGTGAGCCAAGCCCTCGTACGAGGGGGCGGACAGTTAGGGTATAAAAGTGCTGCTTGAATTTTGCTCTGGGTTCCTTCAACGCCTGAGGGAACCCACCTTTGCAAACGCGCAATAAATCTTGTTTTCCTTGGATCAAAGCGAATCTCTGGTGGTCTTTTCGGAAGCCCCCACCTCACACTCTCATTCTGATCAGATGAACTTACATCTAAATTGTTAAGAAAATTTCTATTACAGGAGGGGAGAAGTAAGGAATGCGACAACTTGTTAATTTTCTTATGAAAAGATGAAAAGAAACTCCCTGCCTCCCTCAGTAGTGCAACACTGCAAGCATCCTAAATGAATCACTTTCCAGAAATAAACATAAAGATGAAGCTAGGATGCTAAAAGAGATCTTTAAACAAACTACCAGTACTTATTTGAAAGTAATATAAAATTTAGCTCCTTCATTGTTTCGTATCCTTGCCGTCCTTCATTTTGTTCCTGGACTCTTGTTATCTTGGTTTATGATTTTATATTAGTCCCCAACTCATATGTCTGCACAAACTCTGCAAAATATAATTACAGTGAGATATTCCAGCTCCACCACTCATCTCCCTAAGGATTCTATCAACGGGCAAGTTTTGTTTAGTAATGACCAAAGGTAATAGCATTTTCCAAACTAAAAATTAAAAAACAACAACAACTCTTTTTTCTGAGAACACTCAAAGAAAATTAACAACTTAAGGGACGTCAATTGTATGCATCCCACTGGCATTTAACTTATTAGTCATTATATTAATAGGACAAACATTTCTTGGAGCAGCAGAGTAATGATAAACTGCTTTTTTTTGAAGGAGGTGGGGCCAGCAAATATTTAAGGTATAATTTAGAGATTATTCATCCAGTAGCATAAAATACAGGGTTTTCTCTAAGCCTCCTTACTTTTATGTGCTCTTTGCTTTTCAACAAATATATCAGAGAGAGGGCATCAAAAACTTAATCATAAACATGGTATGTTATTCCAGAATGCATTTGTTTTTTAAAAATATATTGTGTCTTGATGTATGTATCAGTTACTTGCTTTCCTTTTAAAACAAAAATAAACAGGTTTCCAAATAATTCTACAGTAATCAGCATGATCTAAATATGCTTAACTTTGATGGAATTTTGTCCACTGATTTAAAACTGCAGGAAAGAAATATATGTTCATGTCTATTTGTTAGTAATTTTACTATTGGTCTCAGTGTTTTCTTTTTAAATAAAATTACCTGATGCATAGTAGACACATTGTTTAACAAGATTACATTGAATGCAGAAACTTTACAGATTATTACAATAATAAAATAAGCCTACTTATTATAAACTTTTCAGGCTTAGTTGATTTAAGTGATGAAGATCTGTAACATGTCTCTCCTACCCCCTTGTTTGTTCAGTGTAATCTACATATATGTTGGAAACTTATTTCAGCATTTATTAGACTATAAGAATTCTTTATATTGCTTCATCTGAAAAATACCTCTGCTTACTGAAGTGACGGACAACATTTTGGCAGTCAGAAGCTGAACATATTCAGCAAGATAATCATATTAAAATGTCAACATAAAGAGCAGGGATAGAATTTTGAATACATTTTTCTCTTAGGGGAATGAAAATCTTATCCATCTCCTTCGCCCACACCTGAACATCTTTAAGAAATATTCACTGAGCAGTGAACAAGTGTGAGAATGAAAGTTTATTGTACATTAGTTGATTTAGAGAAAGGACTCAATAAAGTGGATAGTCTTGAATTAGGGAATGTTTGGCATTAACATAGAGCTAAAAGATGGTTCTGAATGTGATAAGAGCAGTATATGATGGAAATCAAGCAGATATGAGAATAAATCAAATACATAACAGTTCAACACTGAGCAAGACAAGGAGACATAATATCCCTTAGTTTTAAATGTATTTATGGATGCCTGTATAAGGAATGCTTGTGGTAATGTTAGAGGCATCTGACTGAGGATGTGAATAAGGAAGAGGATGCAGTTTTGTGTGCAGACAATATCATATTTTTTCTGTGAGCTTGAATCATCTTACTAAATGTAAGATAAATTGTATGATGAAATGTGAAGTAGGGATCTTATAAAGCTGTATATCAAGATAAAGATATATAATTTGTAATTGACAGAAGAACTGAGTGAATGCTTGCAAATGTTATACATAGATGGAAGAAAAATACAGCAATCTGATGAATGGTTTACTAAAGAGGAGAAAACAATTGAACATTTTATGAGCTACAAATATTGGTATAAACATGGTGGGAGGTATGTGGTTTGTTGCAAGGAAGGAATGTTGGTTGACAGAAGCAACAACTCTTATGTGTGAGAGTGTGCTTTTCCCCACTCCATTCTATAGAAGCGCGAATTGGATATAATAGGAAAGACATGAGAGTAAGTTGTATGCAACAGGAACAGAGCCCTTAATATTGTAAGTGTATTTGTAATAAAAGAAGAAGATAGGGTCAAGAATAGATGAGTGATGAATGAATATGGATGGAATACAAACATGAACAATTAGTATGGAAGAAGTATGTTGAAGAGATTTAGTCGTATAGAGATAACTTAAGAGACTGAATCGCATCACAAACTTATGAAGGAGCAAGGTCAAGAGAAAGGAGAAAGGAGAGATGAGAAAGTTATAGTTGGATGAAGTTGATTCTCAGAAAGAGGTGAAGAGAACAAAACAGATCATGTGTGAATACAGATGTGGTAGAAGCATAGAACGTTTTACAAGAACTACTTACCCTGAGTAGGAATAGCATGATTGGGATAGATATAGTGGATGGATAGAATTCTGAGGTGGTAGGAAAAGAAGCCCTGGAATTTCTACTTATCAATTTCTATTTTGTATGATTTGATTGCTTATTATACCCCATGACTATCATTAAATATTGTACCTTATGATTCTTGATGAATGTATCTTTTCCTTTTATGTACACTGAGAGCATATGCACCAAAGACAAATTCCTTGTGTGTCCAATCACACTTGGCCAATAAAGAATTCTATTCTATTCTATTTTAATATTCCCATGTTTGTTTTTTAAGAAAAAAAAGGTAATAGCAACTGGAAAATAAAACAGCATGAAATACTGTCCCCTGATGCACCACTGTTTTTAAAAATGTTATGAGAACATTTATAGCTTTATGCATAGACTCTCAATCACAAATCCAAGTATATGATCCCAAGTCTCCCCTCTGAAATGATTAGTATGTACTCTGTATCTTCAGACATCTATCACAATTCTTTTAGGCATGTAAGATCAGACATAAATCATCAAAAATATATGTTGTTAAAATATGTCAGTCGATATTTATGCTGTTTTGCAGATCATCTAGGTATGGACTTCCTATCCATGACATTCCACCCAAACAATGTGACTGAATTTATCCTCTTTGGCCTCATGCAAAATGAAGAAACCCAGAAAATATGCTTTGTCCTGTTTCTGTTCTTCTATTTAATCATTGTGTTGGGCAACCTTCTCATAGTAATCACTATAATCTTCAGCACCCACTTGATGTCTCCCATGTATTACTTCCTCAGTTACTTATCCTTTGTGGACATCTGCTATTCCTCAGTTACAGCTCCCAAAATGATTTCAGATTTTCTTCTGGAAAGAAAAACCATCTCATTTATTGGCTGCATAGCTCAGCTCTTTGGAGTCCATTTCTTTGGCTGCACAGAGATCTTCATTCTTACAGTGATGGCCTATGATCGGTACATTGCGATTTGCAAACCACTCCATTATACCACCATTATGACTAGGCGAGTCTGTGGGCAGATGGTAGCAGCTTCTTGGGTTGGAGGGTTTCTGCACTCCTTGGTGCAAACTCTTGTCACCACCCAGCTTCCTTTTTGTGGGCCCAATGAAATTGACCATTATTTTTGCGATGTCCACCCTCTACTGAAACTGGCCTGTACAGATACCTATATAGTTGGCATCATAGTGGTTGCAAACAGTGGGATGATTGCTTTAAGCTGCTTCCTCATCTTAGTGGTGTCATATATTGTAATCTTGGCCTCCTTGAGATCTCATTCTTCTGAAGGACGTCGTAAGGCTCTTTCTACTTGTGCTTCCCATGTCACAGTAGTAATTTTATTTTTTGGACCATGTACCTTTACTTATATACGCCCTTCTAGCAACTTCTCAGAAGATAAGACAGTAGCTTTGTTTTATACGGTTATCACCCCGATGCTGAACCCATTAATCTACACATTAAGAAATTCAGAGATGAAGAATGCCATTAAAAAATTATGGAGCAAAAAATGTTTTCAACAGAAAAAACAAATTTGTAAACAGAACATGCATAGAAATAATTAAAACAGGATGCCTATCTTTTTGTGAAGATTTTATTTTACTTCTGTCAATATATTATGCTGCTTTTAATATAATTCTTCCACTGACACTTTGCATTTTACTTCGTTATATTTTGTTGTAAATCATTTGATGATTTGATTATAGAGCAGTATAACACTGGATTGAACATCATTTGGTAGCAGGAATAAGTTAACAAATAAATCAAATTTGGTTTGACAAAACATTCAAGATTTCCTATTGGGATTTTATTATTTTTACAGTTCCTCTTCATTAACTTTATTTAGATATATGCATAGGTTCTAGCAGGTATGTTAAAGTGCAAATTGATTTTGGCCATACAACACTGGAGGTCACCTTTTGGAAGCTAAAATCCAGGTCAGAAAATATTCTAGCAACAACACGATCACACACTGATACGGAAATGCATAGCAAGGCAACCAAGAGCAAGGCTGTCAAACTCCAGGCCTGCGGGCTGAATCCAGCCATGGAGTGCTTAGATCTGGCCCGCAGGACTGCACTGGAAACAGTGAAGGACTGGCCCATGGTGTGTCTGCCAGAAAAAATGGAGTTTGGGAGGGCTGTGTGCTGCCCTCCCAAGCTCTGCTTTCAGTTGCGACAACCTCCTGCGACCCTCTGCCAGTGAAAATGAAGCTCAGGAGGGCCACTGTGGCCACGCACACCCTGGCCATGCCCAGGGCCACCAAGAGGATTATTAAGTGCTGGAACAAGACTAATATGGGCCCCCTCACCTATACATTAAGTTAACACAACCACAAGGGTCTCCCTTCCCCCTCCCCATCACCCTGTGAGAGGCTCATTAAAAAGGGGGGACTGCCAGAGCAGCAAAGCAGATCAGGAAGTGGGTATGTGTGTGAGGACGAAGTACAGAGAAATGATGTTGGAGTCCACGCAGCCCACAAGTAATTTTTTTTTCCGACTGGGAGAATGATGCATTCTAGTCTATGCGAATGAAAGAAAAGTGACACTTCCCTTGCCTGCCCCCCTCTCCTTCGGTTTATCCTCCTGCATTTTAAAGCCACCTCTTGCCAGTTACCCTTTGGCATGGCTGGTGCACACAGACCCTCCGACTAAGCTAACAGTGGTGCCTCCTTCCTTTTGGCATGAAGGATTTCGACAGGGTGAGAAGTGGAAGTTCATTCTTCAAGAACTGGGGAGAAGGGGAGAAAGAGAGAGGGGGGGGGGGATGGGGGGGGGGGGGCGGCGATAATTGCTGCTGCTGCTGCACAGGGAAGGACACGCCTTCCTTCCTTGACACTTGCCCTCTGATGATTTGAGTTGATCCAGCTTTGGAGTGTTTTGCTTGCAGGAATCAGACACTATTGTTTTCAGTTAAGCCCAGAAATGGTAGAATCATGGTATTTGTTCCATATTAGCAGGCTTGTAACCCTGCATTCCTATTGGTCCACAAAGACCGTGACGTGATTGGACAGTCAGGATGGCCGTGATTGGCTCGCTAAGAGTCTACCGCGATTGGATGAAACCAATCGTGGGAAACTCAAAGCGATGTCATTGGCTGCCTAGCCGCGGCTAGGTCTATAAGAAGAGCCACCACGAGCGCTGTTTTTCACTTGGAACTGGACTGTAAAATAAAGAGCTGTTGTTCACTTGACCAGAGTCTCTCATCTCTATGAGCCCGACCAGCCGAACTTAACACTGGCGACGAAGATGGGATCGTGAGACAACGAGACAATCCAGCACGTGGCAAACGGTGCAAAAACGACCATCAAGATGGCCAGCAACACCACGCCACCCGCACCCTTTAACCCGGCCACTGAGGACTGGGAGTCCTACATCGACCGGTTTCAGATGTTTTTGGAATGCAGCAACCTGAAAGACGCCAACGGCAATCGGAAATGGGCCGTATTCTTAACACACTGCAGACCCGCCGTGTTTAAAATGGCCAAGGCTTTGGCAAAACCTGTGGACGTCAAGGCAATGGACTGGGACGACCTTGCACCCATTCTCCAAAGCCACTACGCCCCGGCCGTGCCTACCCTCATTTGCCGGCACGCTTTTTACCGACGAGATCAGTGCAAGGGCGAGAGCATCAGCTATTTCGTGGCTGATCTAAGGGACCTTGGAGGTTTGTGCGGATTCACTGACCTAGATGAGGCCATGCGAGACCGGGTCGTCCTCGGCCTAAAAGACCCCACACTGCAAAGCAAGCTGATGGCCAAGGGCGATATCTCCCTCGCTGACGCCCTCGCCGAAGCGACCGCAGCTGAAGCCACCCGCAAATCGGCAGCCCAGATGCGATGATCAAACAGAACCGACCGCCATCCTGTCAGCGAGGTGGTTTCAACATCGGAGAAACACATCACCACCACCCACCACGGCAACATCGAATCCCCCTCTGACAGCGACTACGAGGAGGAAGAAATCCACCGACTCCAGTCGGAACGCGATCGGCGGGACCGGCGGGGTCGTAAGTCAGGCTTCCAGTGTGCTGGCTGCGGAGGCGATCACCCCCGTTCTGAATGCCGATTCCTTGACACCATTTGTCGGCATTGCGAGAAGCAGGGGCACATCGCAAAAGTATGCTGGAATAAACGTAACCATAGTCCCCGGCATCGAGGCGGCAGCCCCAGACGACGAGACAGCACCCCCTCCAAGCATCGGGATCGTCAGACTGACAGCCGATGGAGCCGAGATGGCCAGAACAAACGATTCAACGAGCCACCACGAAGAGAAGAGACCCACCAAACGGTTGTCATCGGCCACTCCTCAACCATAGATGCCTGAAAGGTACGCATAGTGGTGGACATCGAAGACCAACCATGCACCATGGAAGTGGACTCCGGATCCTACCTTTCCATGGTCTCGTGGCACACCATCAAACACCTAATACCCAGCATACGCCGACATGAGCTAAGCGACCAAAAGCTGATCCTCAGAGACTACCAGGGGAACCGCATTCCCGTAGCTGGCATCGGGCACTTCAAAATCACTTTCAAAGGCCACACCAACATACTGCCACTCACCATCGTGGACAAAGACCGCCCCAGCTTGCTCGGGCTACAATGGTTCGCGCCGCTAGGGATAGAAATGGCAGGCATCCACCACACAAATGAAGAAGATTGGGAGGCGACGCTCACACGAGACTTCCAGGAGGTCTTTGACAACACCTTAGGCAAGTACAAGGGGTCCCCAATCTCCTTCAATCTTAGCCCAGACGTCGCCCCCATCCGTCTCAAACTGCGGCGAGTGCCATTTGCACTCAAGCCCAAAATCGATGAGGAACTAGATAAGCTCATCGCCCAAGGAGTATTAGAGCCTATTGACCATGCCCGCTGGGAAACACCTATAGTCACCCCTATCAAGCCAGATGGCTCCATAAGAATCTGTGGGGACTATAAGGCCACCCTCAACCATTCCCTGCAGCAAAATGCCTACCCCGTGCCAGTAGTCCAGCACCTCCTGCACTCACTGGGGGGAGGCCGGGTCTTTGCAAAGCTCGACCTGGCACAAGCCTATCAGCAGCTGCCGGTCGATGCAGACACCGCCAAGGCACAGACGATTGTAACGCACCATGGGGCATTTAAATGCAACCGCCTCCAATTTGGCATCAGCGTCGCGCCCGGGGTCTTCCAAAGCCTCATGGAAAGGCTGCTTCAGGGAATTAAGGGAGTAGTGCCATACTTTGATGACGTGTTAGTGGCAGCGGCTAATAAAAATCAACTAGAAAAACGTCTAAGGGCAGTACTACAAAAATTCAAAGACTCTGGCCTGAAGGTTAAAAAAGAGAAATGCCAACTATGCACCGAGAGGGTTGAATTCTTGGGGTACCTCCTAGACAAACACGGAATTCACCCCACCGAGAAAAAACTCAAAGCCATCAAGGAAGCCCCCAGACCGAAAAACAAGACGGAACTTCAGGCATTTTTAGGACTCATTAACTTTTATAATGTTTTCCTACCCCAAAAGGCGACCGTGGCGGAACCATTGCATAGACTGTTGGACAAAACCGCCTCCTGGACTTGGGGAAAACGGGAGGAAAACGCCTTTCAACAGATAAAAAACCTCTTAACCTCCGACGCAGTCCTCATCCAATATAGTGAGACCCTACCGCTGACAATTACATGCGACGCATCGCCTTTTGGAGTTTGGGCAATTCTCACTCATACCTTACTGGACGGAAAAGAGGCACCCATCACCTTCTCTTCAAGAACCTTGTCCAAACCGGAACGAAACTACAGCCAGCTGGACAAGGAAGCCCTAGCGATCATCTCCGGAGTGAAAAGGTTCCACGAATACATCTACGGTAGGACCTTTTCAATCATTACTGATCACAAACCTCTGCTAGGCATATTGGCAGGCAACAAGGCCACCCCAAACATCCTGTCACCTAGGATGACTAGGTGGTCCAAGTTCCTGGCCGCCTATAATTACCAGCTCACGCACCGACCCGGTAAGGATATTTTGCATGCTGATGCTTTAAGCCGTTCCCCCCTTCCAGACGTGCAAGGCGACCCAGCACCCACAATACCAGTCCTTTAAATAGAAACCTTGCCCAGCCCTCTCCTGACCGCGTCAGACATTGCCCGCGAAACAAAAAAAGACAAGCGGCTGGCATGAGTCCTGAGCTGGGTAGAGAGAGGTTGGCCAGAAAATGACAAAACCGCACCTTTTAAAGCCTTCAGGAACCGGCAAACTGAACTTTTTTCACAAAAAGGGTGCATACTTTGGGGAGACCGGGTGGTAATACCAGACACATTACAAAAAAGAGTACTGGACATGTTGCATGAAGGGCACCCGGGCATCGTCCGAATGAAAGCCCTGGCCAGAAGTTACGCTTGGTGGCCAGGGATGGACAAGCAAATCAAAACATGGGTAGCCGTTTGCAACAGATGCCAATAAACACGATCCACCCCCCCCACAGCACCACCCCTGGAATGGAAAACCCCTAGAGGCCCCTGGTCGCGGATCCATGTTGATTTCGCCGGCCCCACTAAAGGACACACATTTCTGATTACCGTCGATGCTTATTCAAACTGGCTGGAAGTTAGCACTATGAAAACAATAACTACAGAAGCCGTCATAACGAAACTAAACAAACTCTTTGCCACACACGGTTTGCCAGACGTGCTAGTGTCCGACAACGGACCACAGTTCACGGCAGTAGCATTCGAAAAATACCTGGCTGACCGTGGCATCAGACGTGCTTTAACATCGCCCGCTCACCCAGCGGCGAATGGGCGGGCGGAACGAATGGTTCAGTTTACCAAAAAAACCATACAAAAAATAGAAGATGGCAACATTCAGGAAAAAATAAATAAAATGCTACTAATACAACATATCATGCCTAACACAACCACAAACAAATGCCCAGCGGAATTACTTATGGGCAGAAGACTCCGCTCACCACTGGACCGCTTACACCCCACATATAATCCAGAGAAACCCTCAGGCTCCACCAGCCGACACCGCGCATTCAACATTGGCGACACTGTTTTTGCAAAAAGCTTCACCGGAGACCCTCTCTGGGTACCCGCACAGATCACCCAAATAACCGGACCCCGGTCATACCGCCTAGAAACAACAGATGGGCGAAGCTGGAAGCAACACATCGACCAGCTACGATCAAGGCTAGCCAGCATACCTCACACAGATGGTAACAATGAAATCAGAGGGGGGGGGGAAACCTCAAACATTGAAAAAGAAAAACTCTTAACACAAACAGAACACCCCCAATCAGAAACCAAATAATCAACCAACCATACTCACCTGAAAACACAGAACCGTTGCAGACGGGTGCTTCACCTGAAAGGAGTAGCCGGACAAGCTCAACCAGCCCAGAGAATCCAGGCGGGAGCGGCAGAGCAAACGACTCGACCAACCCGGACAGAGAATCCAGGAGGGAGTCGCAGCTATAGGCCCAGCTCACCCTTCCAGGCGGTTCTACCAAGATGGTTGAGAGCGACGCGGATCCCGTCCGAACCAGAGACGACCAGAGACCTACTGAGACACGCAGGTCAAGTAGGCAGGTCCGAAGACCCGCCTACCTACGCGACTACGTCACCCCGCCCCTTGGATGAAACCAAGAGGGGAGGGGTGTTCCATATTAGCAGGCTTGAAACCCTGCATTCCTATTGGTCCACAAAGACTGTGACGTGATTGGACAGTCAGGATGGCCGTGATTGGCTCGCTAAGAGTCTACCGCGATTGGATGAAACCAATCGCGGGAAACTCAAAGCAATGTCATTGGCCGCCTAGCCATGGCTAGCTCTATAAGAAGAGCCGCCGCGAGCGCTGTTTTTCACTCGGAACTAGACTGTAAAATAAAGAGCTGTTGTTCACTTGACCAGAGTCTCTCGTCTCTATGAGCCCGACCAGCCGAACTTAACAGTATTTACCATTGTACTAACTATAGTACTAAGAGTCCAGAAGTAAAAAGCCACTGGCATATTATTGCCACTTTCTTACTAGTTGTTGTATCATTATGGAGTGCCCAGTCATGATGATCTGCTTATCTTTGGCCATGACAGTAGGCAACCTTTGAATGACAGAGGCTACATTCAGCTCCTAAACTCTCTGGAAGGCACCAATATATCATCCAATGAATGAAGAGATGATATAACTTTTTATGGACCATAGTTTTCTTTTTGTCTTCTTCTAGAAAGCTTTAAGGATAATAATATGAGTGGAAAACAGACCACCTCCATTTCCCAAATGAACCTCAAAGAAAGACCCCAAATCGTTATTTTTAGACCTGTTTGGGGCCATTTGCAGGATTTTGATTGAGAACCTATTTGGTACTCTGCAAATTTCATTTCTTTCTAAGTTTCAATGCTCATGCTGGGAAGAAATAACTAGGGGAGAAAGAGAAAGAATCAACCAATAAATGTCTGTGTTGTCAGAGTGGCCTACAACCATCATTTCTACCTCATTGTATCTATCATACTGACCATCTGCAATTTTTTTCTACCGTAGGTTCCTGCAAGATTCTTGGGAGGGGGGGGGGCGGGATGTTTGGTGCATTTTTCAGAGAAGTGTGGAAGTGACAAAGATCCTATATTCACCCAAATTGTTTTCCTTTTCAAGGACTTGGATTACAGGTCTGGATGAATCATTGAAATTGGATTGTCTTGTGACTCTGCAAGATTAAAGATTGTGGGAGTAGAGATTTAGATCCTGGGATTATTCCCACCAAATTCCAGTGTTCCTCCACCTCCTTGCTCCATTTCCTTTCTGTGTTTCTTCCCATGTACATATTTTTGCACATTTTCATTAACAGTTGTATAGACCAGGTTTTTAGATTTTGGTCACAAAATGTGTTAGAGCCAGTTGTCCATGGGGTCAATTCCATAGTATGCAGCAATGTTTAAAGACATATTGTCATGAGGACAGAATTAACTGCCACAGATGTGGCCCTCCATACTTCAGCCACAATTTTGCCTATGAAAAACTGGATGATTATCTCACCTACACAGTGCCTGGCTTTTTATTCTTATGTTAGCAGCATGCCTTAATATCTAAAATGCATAATTTCTCAATAAAGATGAAGTCTTTCCCAATTTTGTTTTTTATAAAGTTTTTAAATTTTTTTTGAATATACTTCAGTATCAATACATGAACAATGAGGCACCTAGACATCATTCATTTGGATATAAGCAGTATTAATAATATTTGTTACTTAAATTGCACTTATGTAATTGTAATGTTATTATACATATTTGTATTAAAATATAAGCCTTCATTATTTAGTTGTTCAGCATTTTAGTTCGCCTTTCTAATGGCAATAACAATATCACTAAAACATACATAGTGTCACCATCTTTCAACATCTGATCTTTACATCTAGTTATTACTTTTAGTATATTATATAGAAATATGTATAATAATATTCTTGTTTCTGCCTCTGTTCTAGCTCCTAGTAAATCAATCTTGTGTTACAAAAGCCTTTCCCAATTTTGATGTTCTTCAGATAATGATGGGCACTATGGTCTTACATATCTGGAGGTTGAAGAAGACTTCACTTCAAATGGATGCTAATTAACTAATGCAAAATATATTAGAATGAGTTGCATGTTAAAAAAAGTTCATATTTAGCATTTATTTTCTATTGGGAAAGATTGAAATACTTATGGGAGGTTATTAACTGGATCAGTGATGTAATGGTAGCACCTATTTAAACATTTAATTTCATACTTCTTAATAAGACAAGAGCAACAACTTGTAAAAGCAACTCTACAGTGAAGAGAGAGAAACAGGATATGCCATTGGTTTCAATTTGGCTTTTTCTATACAGTGGGCAGCTATAGAATGGATATTATGGCTTATAGAATTGGGAATGATGTAGATAGTACAAAGCGTTCAAATTCTTATTTATAGAGCCTTGCTAGCGCAGTGGTTAGAGTGCTGTTACTGCAGACCACTTCTGCTGACTATCAGTTGCCTGCAATTTGGCAGTTCAAATCCCACCAGGCTCAAGGTTGACTCAGCCTTCCATTCTTTGGAGGTGGGTAAAATGAGGACCCAGATTGTTGGGGGCAATATGCTGACTCTGTAAAACTACTTAGAGAGGGCTGTAAAGCACTATAAAATGGCATATAAGTCTAAGTGCTATTGCTATTGCAGAGTTTCATGGATACTCTTTTAGCTGAGAGAGAGAGAGAAAGAGAGAGAGAGAGAGGGAGCAAAATTCTGAGGGCATCTTTGGTAGAGCTGGAAGATCCTGTAGTCTACAGATACCTCAACCAATCAGGTAATAATGGAGATTATTGGTGTCTTTTTAAATGTGCTGCATTCATGTTACGCTTTTAGCCACTTTTAGAGGCTTTGAAAACATGCTGGTTATATATAACATTTTTATACTTTTCCAGATTCTGATTCCCATATCTAGCACAAATGCTATTTGTGTTCCTATCTGAGCTCATTTTGTTTACCTGATTAGGCAATACTTGGATTGTCATTTTATAGTAGTAGAACAAGCTCATTTAAGTTGCAGAGCCTAACTGCATGTATGCCAACATTTAAATTTCCACTGTCTTAGAAATACATGAGGACTAAAGAATTCCAGATGATTACTAGTTAGCAACAACTTTAATGCTATTTAGTGCTTGTCTCAATGTTTACATTCCAGTCACAGTGTCCTTTACTGCTTCATTTAAGCCAGTAAGCACCAAATTGCTGTCTTAATTATTTGGACTTTGTCCAGATGAAAAAAAAAGAAAAAGGGCAGCAAGAGACAGTATTCCAAAATTTGAGTGCCTTCCTATCTAAGAGTATATTACAACCCAATTCTCTGCAACAGAGGCAGAAAAACCCATGTATAAAAAGGGACAACAGAACTGAAAAATTTATTCTTCTCATGGGTCTTTCTCACTGCTAGATGACTAAATCAGGACATTGGTTGTGATTTACATTTGATTCCAACAGAACAAAACAACACCAATGGCATTCAGGGGTGCTTTTCTATAAAACCAGTAGCTGATTTTGGAGCATCTATGAAATGTGAAGATTTTGACAGGGTTATTTGTATGACTGAATGAAACCATGATTGGTTAACATGAAGTTTGACTAAACATTGAAAAAATGCATTTGAAGTTTAAACATTTGGTTTTACAAATTTTTAATTTGACTATACACATTTGTATAGGTTACAAACTTTATATTTCAAGAACAGTTTCTCCAATGTCCAATAATATTGCTGTGCTTCCTAAAGTGATTTCCCTGATTTGCTGAACACCCATTAAATTTCTGACAACTGTTTATCTTCATTAAATTTTAGGGTAAACATGCCTTGCATGTGAAGGAATCAAGGCCTTGAGAACATTGAATTCAAGACTTTTTTCAATCTGCATTGGTGTGTATACATTTTTTTTGTAAAAAGAATGCTAAACCTTTAATTGCCAGTATTCCTAATTTTATATGATGTGTTGTAATATGTTATCTAGCTTTGAAAATATGGAGAACCGAAATAATGTATCTGAATTCATCTTGCTGGGGCTTACTCAGGATCAAGAGTTACAGAAAGTCTGCTTTGGTCTGTTTTTGATCTTCTACATGGCAATTCTGCTGGGGAATCTACTGATCATAGTCACAATCAAGAGCAGTCGCCACCTGATTTCTCCAATGTATTTCTTTCTCAGTTATCTTTCCTTCATAGATATCTGTTACTCCTCTGTCACTGCCCCCAAACTGATAGCGGACTTCCTTGTGAAGAAGAAAAGCATCTCTTTTGTTGGTTGCATAGCACAACTTTTTGGGGTTCACTTTTTCGGTTGTACTGAAATTTTTCTTCTCACACTGATGGCATATGACCGATACATTGCAATCTCTAAGCCTCTCCATTATAGCACTATTATGAACAAGAAGATCTGCAGTTGGATGGTGTTTATGTCATGGCTGGGTGGATTTGTACATTCAATGGTCCAGACACTTCTTACTACACAGCTACCCTTCTGTGGGCCAAATGAAATTGACCACTATTTTTGTGATGTTCATCCTTTATTGAAATTAGCTTGCACTGATACCTATATGATTGGACTTATTGTCATTGCCAACAGTGGCATGATTTCCCTCAGTTGTTTTCTTGTGTTGACTTTTTCTTACATTGTTATCCTACTCACAATCAGAACTCATTCTTCTGAAGGCCGTCTCAAGGCTCTTTCCACCTGTGGCTCTCACATCACAGTTGTGATTCTGTTTTTTGGCCCCTGCATCTTCCTTTACATGAGGCCTTCAACTACATTCTCAGAGGACAAAAGTGTGGCTGTTTTCTATACTATTATAACTCCTATGCTCAATCCATTAATTTACACCTTGAGAAATGAGGAGGTAAAGAATGCCATGAGAAAATTATGGAGCAAAAAAGTATTTTTGTCTAGGAAATTAAAAGTGGATTTAAAAATATAACCTTGGTTTAATCACATGTCATATCAATGGTGCAGAAAATTGTATTTGTATCAGAACTGGGCCTGTTGGAAAGGAGACTTTTCTATTTTTAGCAAGGTTTCAATAAAATGCATCTTTTCTTCTTGAAATAATAAGTGAAATGTCTAATTAGTATGCCTTAAGTTTTAAAGCGTATAAAGGATATTTTCTTTTAAGATTCACGGCTAAGGAAAGAAGATTTAATTTCTTGTCCTGATAAACACTGAAAATCATAATTATTACATCTTGAGATTTAATATTTAGTTAAAAATAAATATTGTTGTTACTGTAAACCATAACTGTTACATCTTGAGATTTAATATTTAGTTAAAAATAAATATTGTTGTTACAACCTTGTGTTGCTATTACCTGTGGTCAACACAGAGGGGAAAAAGTTTCACTTATTTTTGTAAAGGTCATACAATGTTGTTATCTGGGTTTCTGGAAGGTAATTTATTCTTCCCCCTGTGTGATTGTTCTCTTCCGATAATCCAAAGAGCACTGGTATTGTGTGTTAACCACCTGAGAGGTACCAAGAAGCTGTGTAAATCTTAACTCTATTTAGTCACATTTGAATGCAGTTGCTGTTTAGCATAACTTGCATCTGATAAAAATTCATGCAGAATATTAATTTTAAAAACAGACAGCTTGCCTGCCTGGCAGGAGATAGTCAAAGGTGATATCTGAATCCTGTTGCCAGTATATCTGTGTTCTCAAGGTTCAAAAGAAACACTAAAAATGACCACATTTTCCTTTCTTGTTTCCTGATGTTTTCGCTCTGTAAAAAATAAAGGAAAATAGGTGCCTGTGTTTGAATAAGTTGGAGAATTCCAAAGAGTTTTTTTTTTAAAAAGAGATGGCTTCATTGTATTAATTTAGAGATGAGAGGGAGTGTGTACATCATAAGATATCAAGATGTAAACACGTGATTGTGGCATTTAATGGTGACATCATTGGTTGCATGCTGTTATTTTGGTGTCCTTGGGATTTATTATGCATGTTGCTGCTTATCATTCATACTGAAAAATGGAACCAAAATTAATATAAAGAAGACCAAACTAATAATAAAAATAGGTAGAACAATCACTCTTAGAACTGACAATGAAGCCATCCAAATGGTGGTAACTTCTGCCTTTTATGATTTTCCATCAACAGTACAGGAACAAGCAGTCAAGGAGTATATTGCAGACCAGCACTCAGTAGAACAGCCATGAAGGTCTGTGAAAGGGTATCCAAATGCAGTGATGGGTCTATACCTACAAAAATCAGGATCATGCAAGCCATGGTATTCTCTATAATCTTCTATGGAAGCAAGACAAAAACTATTTATACCCTGCCTTTTTCATTTTTATAAATAATTCAGAGTGACGAACATAGCTAATATTTTTTCCTCCTCCTATTGTGATTTCTTGTGCACTTGGAGAATCAGTGGATAGGAGTTTTGGCAATGCAGAGCTTTTGGGCAGAGAAGCCCAGATTAAGAGACTGTGCAGTCCTGAGCTGGATGGGGGAAAGGGGAAGAAGTTCAGAGTAATCACACCGTAGAATCTCCCAGGATATATCTATTAAATCAGAAAGTTATAATGTAGTTCAGTCCAATATGTATATGAAAATAAAGGATTGGGCTGGTAGGTAGGATACACAGCAGAGGTGGTATTCATCAGGTTCTGACTAGTTCTGGAGAACCGGTAGCGGAAATTTTGAGTAGTTCAGAGAACCAGCAAATACCACCTCCGACTGGAGATTTTACAGTATCCTTCCCCTGCCACACCCACCAAGCCACACCCACAGAACCGGTAGCAAAAATATTTGAATCCCACCACTGATAGGATACAGATAAGCTGTCTCCCAAAGCCACAGAACTATTTCCACTCTCATTTCCACTTCAAGCTTGGATGTCAAGTAATCAATGTCAGTCTGAGAATAGGCTTTCCATGGCTGTTGTTGCCACTATAATTCACAAAAAGCTGTGTGGCTTGTGCAGATCCCACAACCAAGCAAGGCTGGCATAACAGACAGAATAGAAGGTGTAGCCGCACTATCAGAAAGATCTGCCTTCTAGCTTCATGTTCCTCCAGCTGGAATGACTGTGCCAGTAACTACCTTATTAGCCAACTTCTGATCAATGGTGCACTCCATCTGCCACACTGCCACTGGAATGCCAGGAAGCCTCCATCAGCCACCTGACTGGGAAGGCATTAAAAGAAATAATTGGTGCCATGAGATATAAGGAAGTTAAAAAAACTGTATGCCAGTTTTGATCCATAACTGGTAGTCAAAAAAAGACCTCTTGCAGAAGGAGGTTTAATTAATTAGAAGGAGAGAAGGAAAAGAGAAGGCAATTGCGGTTAGACAGTTTTGGGCCAATGAAGAATGTTTGAATTATGGACCACCAGATGAGGCGGGGATTGTGCCAAGGACTAAAGAGGCAGAAATAAAATCCAGAAGTGTTAGGAAAGGTGTAAAAGATCATGGAGGTACAAGATGGACAGGAGACATCTGGAGTTGGGGGGGAGGAAAAGAGCAGAACCTGTGGCACACTGTAGTTGTTCACTTGGCCTTGGGCACTTTTCAAGGGAGGGAAAGTGTCAATACTTGGAAGAGATACTGAAGTACTGAAAGGAATGACTATTATACTACTTCCATAATTACAGTATTATTTTGAAAAATGACTGGTGTGTTCCTTTAAACAGAAGCAACCATTTATATAGAACAAAGTAAAGGTGTGCATTCAATCAATTCTGCTCCCTAGACTTACAGAGACAAAAAAAATAAAAATTGATGGCTCATTTTTGTTTTCTTCAAAGATTGTCTTAAAAAATTTCTTCAATTTTTAAACATGCAGCTAAGGTTACAGTACTTTATAAGTTGCCTTAGCATTATGGAAGATGAATCATTTATTTTAAACATCCCCCATGAAATAATATTCCGTGTCACATTTATTGTAGACTTCATTACATTATTACAAGTTTAATATAAAATGTTATTGTTCAAGGAAGAATGAACATATATTCCTATGGGGATAGTGAAGAAAAATCTTGACATTCGCACAATCCATAGAGGAATTGCCTGTTATTTAAATTATATTCTACTTAAGGAAAAAAAATCATATTCCACTGCATACTTCTTCCCTTTCTGAGCAAAGCTGCCTTTATAATCTCAGGGTCCAAGGACTTAAGCTAGATGCTAAACCACCTTTTATTGCTACCATAGCGGGAAAGTCGAGAGTCCATTAAGGCAATGCATTTTTACAAGAGGTAAATCTTGTAATTTTGAGTTAGGGTTGGAAATGAGATCATTTGTCAATTAGAACAATAAAGGCTTCTAAGTTATTTTTGCATTGGGCTAGGAAGCACGCTGAATGCTCAAAATGCCTAAAAATATCAAATGAAAAGTATAGAAATAATTTTCCTTAATCTATCTTTGAGTTAGCATTGCTTTCTAAAACATTCTGGTAAAGAGTTAACAAATGAATCACATTATTTTTTCAAGATTTATGGCTGCAAACCCAGATTCAAACATGTTCATTTGGGTCACTTTTTATAGGTCCAGACAAAAAGAACATAAAAAGAAAAACCTTGTAATCTATTATTTTTGTTTTGTTTCTATTTTAAGAAAGCTATCCACTGCCATAGCCAAACCTCTAAGCATAATCTT